AGTGCGTATTATAGAGCAAAAAATACGGTAGGTAATTTGAGACTCTGGGCTTAATGGCCTCTCTTTAGATTAGGGATGGGAAAACTATGGCCCTCCAGATTGTGCTGGACTACAGCTCCCATAGTCCCTGGCCACTGCTGCATTTCATCACTTCCTTCAAAATGTGGCACACCAGCCCTGTTGCATTCAGCGGACCCTCTTGCCCATTCTGCTGACTGGGTTCCTGGGCTTGTGCCCCCAAAATCCTGCCCTGGCAGCATCAGCAGACATATAAACACATTTTTGCTAGTCAGGACCAGTGCTTGCATTCTGTTTCTTAGAAGCATTAACTTCTAAGCAAAACAATGGCCTTTTTAAAATATATGACTAGCTTCCCGCTCCAGACACCCTGTTCATTGAGCATTCATTCCGATTTGCTTGTGCAGAGCTTAAGCAGAGATGAGTATATGCAGTATTTATTGAGCATTTGTTCTGATTTGTTTGCTGAGTGGTTATATAGCAATGAGCATTTGTCCTTCGTTCATTTTGATTTGCTTGCAAGGTGTTTATGCCTGCTGGTCATTCAGTCATTCCACACTTTTCAGTGCATGCTCCTGTCATTCTCCAAACTGCAAAGAAGCCTGATTCTTTTTGAAAGTGGATTTGTTGTGCTAGAGCAAGAGAGCAATTTGATCTATTTTGAGTGTGGAAAACTAAAGTTTTGGTGTGTGGATGAATCCTTCCTGCAAAATAGTGACAGTCTAGAGGCACCCCAGCTAAATGCCTATAATCTATGACATAATACCAGTGAGATCACGGTCAGGGTGCTGACGACCTAGTGCCCAGAGTGGAAGGTAGATTTATCTTCCCCATGGGAGTGAAAATCAACTGTCCTTTAACAGTAGGAATTGATAGCTGAGCAAAGAACCATAATTTGGATTATAAGATTCTTGCTTTAATAAAAATTCCTTAAATACTGAAAAGGGGGGGGGGAATGGATGTATTTTGGGATGCCATACCGCAACATTTAGAGATGTGGAAAATCCAGTGGATGCTTATATTCTCCTTCAGGAGGTGCAGTTAAAAGCAGTTCGCATTGGAATTTGCAATGGTCAGATTCTGTCACCGTGCCAACACAAATAGTGGAGGCCATGTCAACAGTCCCCACCTGAAAGTACTGTCTGATGCAACCAGCATCTCCATGTGATGCCCACCAGGAAGAGTGGCCAGTTATCCTCTTCCATGCTGGTTTCCCACTGCTTGTCTTCTTTCGCTGTGTGCCTGGCAGGCAGCAAAGCCAATGCACTTTGAATTAAGCAATTTCCCAGGGCCATTTGAGGATTCACACGGTGCACAGCACAGCAGAGGGCTGGCAGTGGCTGCAGCAGGATGAAGTGCTGGCTTGTTTCCGAATTGAAAGCACCCACCATGCCTTCACCCACTGACTACCTCCTTCCATAGTAAAAAGAAAGAAACCAGAACCAGCAGAGCTGTTCTAGGTTATTGTGCAAGCTACAACTGATGTTAAAAGGTAAAGGTAAAGGTATCCCTGCCCGTACAGGCCAGTCTTGACAGACTCTGGGGTTGTGCGCTCATCTCACTTAAGAGGCCGGGGGCCAGCGCTGTCCGGAGACACTTCCGGGTCACGTGGCCAGCGTGACATTGCTGCTCTGGCGAGCCAGAGCCGCACACGGAAACGCCGTTTACCTTCCCGCTAGAAAGCGGTCCCTATTTATCTACTTGCACCCGGGGGTGCTTTCGAACTGCTAGGTTGGCAGGCGCTGGGACCGAGCAGCGGGAGCGCACCCCGCCGCGGGGATTCGAACTGCCGACCTTTCGATCGGCAAGCCCTAGGCGCTGAGGCTTTTACCCACAGCGCCACCCGCGTCCCTCACAACTGATGTTGCTAGACTCTAAATTCTATCAGCCCGGGCCATTGGCCATGTTGTAAGGTATTGATGGGAGTTGGAGTCCTCCAGTGTAAGGATAACCACTGGTTCCCCATCCCTACTTTAGTGGGCTTGTTCGATCTGCCTACAGGCAGACATTCCTTATAGTATGGATGTGGAACCTATGGCTATCTGGATGCTCTTGAACTCCGAACCCCATCAATTCCAGATAGCATGACTGAGGGAGGTTCTTCAACAACACCTGGAGGGTCACACATCTGGTTAAAATATTGGAACAGTAAGAAAACCACCAAGAAGCAGTGGGGTCAGGGCACAGCAGAAGGGCACAGCCAGGTTCAGTCCCTGCCCTCCCCAATTAACATAGGGATTAGCAGCTGGTGATGGGAAAGTCTATATGCTGGAGATCCCAGAAAGCCATTGCAAGTCAAAGTAACTGCTGCCTCCTACATTTATTTTGCTGCAATAGCAGCACTAAAGTGACCAGCACTGAAGTGACCTCTCTGGGACACAATCTTGGGCATCATGTGTGGAGGTCCTGGGCTGCCCAGAGAGCAAGACCCCCCCCCTTTGGACTCATTGATGTGGTCCAAAGCAAAGCATGGCATTAATTGTGCTGAGAATTTCCTAATTCGGTGTATTTTGAAATCCAGTCCTATGCTGGATCAGGGATCTCCTGCCTCCCAAGCAGTCACAATTACTGTACATGATGCGAGTCGGAGGCATCATTAAAATAAATTAGTGCATGTTGAGATGAAATAATTGTTTTACATAAACTCCTCCAGGGGGAGAAGATGGAGATGGCAAATCGCATTAATCCTGCCATCCTATTCTCTGATACGGAACAAGTGTCACAGCTCTGCGTTGGTGTAAGGGGAAGCCGAGTCAGCAGAAAAGTTTCTGCGTGGTTTTGTAAACACTGCACCAAATATTGTCAGTACATCTTTCTCCATCTCAAGACCGTTTTTGTTTTTGCACGATTTGCAAAATGAATCACTGGCAATTGGTGATGATGCATTTACTGAGTAAAGCCAATGGAAGAGCAAGCTAACAAAACAAGAAACCACATGCATAAATGGGAGGAGATAGAAGTCTTAGCGTGCCCAGTGGCCAGGGATGGAAGGGCATGAGGTTTTCAAGATCATCAGCAGCAATAAAATAAAAGCCATAAATAATTAGAGAGCCAGGGAACACCCAACAATTCCAGGATCAAATCAGAAACTGGGATGGCTTCTGTAAATCTGGGACTGTCCCTGGAAAATAGAGACACTTAGAGGGTCTGGAAACGGTGACATGAAAGGAAATCTGTGTGAGCCCTTAGTCATTTTGCAATGGATTAATTCATCTATCCCTCGGGAACAGACCTTTCCATGAGCTATGTTCCCCAAAGAACGGTGCTTTAAAAGTTATTAATTTGATCATTGTAGCCTGGATCCCTGCCAGCGGTTGTTTAGCAAATAAACATTGTAACTGCTGGGTGATTGAAGTTTTAATTACTAAGCAATTAACACTTCAAGATTTCAAGGCAGAACATTGTGCGAAAGGTGCTGCAGTTTAGGCAGGAGGGAAGGGAATGCAAAGGAGAGCAGAACCTAAAAGGAATGGAGGAGGAGGAGGAGGAGGAGGAGGAATGGAGGCCTGGATTGCAACCCCTTCCTCACAGGGCCATTGTGAGGATGACATGGTGTGGGAGGGGGGCGGATGGACATTGATCAACCTCAGTTCTTTCTAGTCCAGCATCCTGTTTTTTCAGTGGCCAACCAGATATATAAAGAATAATAAAAAAGGACTTCTGATTTAAAGATCTCGCCCCCATAGTGTGGGTCCAAAGGGTTGAAACAATGAGCAAAATCTTTATCTCCCACAGGAGAGAGAGATGGCCATCAATTTGGATGGCTCTAAAAGAGGATTGGGGAAATTCATGGAGGATAAGGTTGTTGTTAACCAGTAGTTCTGATGGCCACGCTCTGCCTCCACGTTTAAAGGCAGTCATGCTTCTGAATGCCAGCTGTTTGAAACCGCTGGGTGGAAGATGGAGTGCTCTTTCGCTCGGGTCCTGCATGTGGGCTTCCTACAGGCATCTGGTTGGCCACAAGATGCTAGACTAGATGGGCCATTGGCCTGATCCAGCAGAACATTATGTTCATATGTTCTTACTGTGCTCCCATTAGCAGTTAACCATGGCTCAGCATCCTTCGAGTCCAAAGCCTGGATCTCTTGGAAGTTTGAAGGTTCAAATACCTTCTTGGAGCTATTAACAGCAGTTACAGCTTTAGCTGCTTTAGCAAATTCATCAGCAAATCTCTTTGGAGGTCTACCTTTTGTGGCTCTTTCAGACCTGCAAATTAGACGTAAGTCTTCAAGGCTCTCCTCTTCTTTCTTAGGAGAAAAGTGGCCTGTAGTGAACAGTGGTTCCTCCAATTCTCGATCAGAGCCTTCAGAGGGTCGCAGAGAGGCCTTAGCACTCTTGAAATCCTCTGAACCATCTGAGTCAGTTTCAGATTCAGAATCAGAACCTCCATCAGTGGGTGTGGGGTTTTGCTGCTGCTTATCCTCAAACTCTTCACTGTCATCAGGATAACATTGGAAAATTCCCACAGAGGAACCTCAGGCCTGGATGGATTGAATGCGGCCCCCTGCCTTCTCCATCTGGCCCTCAGAATTCTCCACCTGCCACACCCCCTCTCCTCAAGCACACCCCTCTATGCCTCTTGTTACACACCCCAAGTGTTTTTGCCTGGCAGGAATGTGTCCTTGAACTCCCATAATGCCTTGTGCTCAGAGGGGAATTTGGGCCTCAGACTGAATAATCTTCCCCATTGGAACAAGAAGAAAAGTATTGGAATATGGTGTTAGAAGGAAGGAACAGAATGTTTTAAAAGGGAGTAATTATTTCAGTTTGAACCAAGGCTTGTCAGAGCTCAGATACCAGATTTATTATAATTATCAGTGCCGGGCAGAAGTTCAAAAGGTATGGTTTAAATGAAAGGCTGCATTTCTGCCCGATGAGCAGCAGCTCTGAAAAACAGCAGCCCTGACAGGCTGGGGTGGGTAGCAGGGGCAGCTGCACAGTGAGCGCAACAGCTTCTTTCTTATCTCTCCCTTCCTCCCCAGCGATGCTCTTCCCATCCGCTCAGCGAGTGAAGAGGTCTTCGGCAGCTCTCCTCAACCCAGTGCTTCAGAAGTCTCAGGATGATGTGGACCTTCTGTTTGAGGTTCAGTATACACCAGAGAACTATCTTTCTGTGTAGAAATATACCAGATATAGCAATATCTTCAAGGCAGCACAGAGAATAAGGAGCTTGATGCAGAGTGGTGTTGAATAGCTTGGTGGGACAGAAACACTTGTTGACTCACTGCTGTTTATGAAGGGGAGGGGCGAGGTGGCAGGGCAGGTGGCACAGCACAAATGCACTGGCAAAGCCAACCTGGTGCTCCCGCCAGTGTGTTTGCACCATGCTGCCTTCCTGCTGTCTCACCCATCCTCCTCCTCTCAGTAATCAGCCGTGATTCACCTGTTCAGAGGGCAGGTGACTGCCTCTGCCCTACTATGCTCTGTGCTACTGGCGGAGAGATGTCATGGCATTTATTTGTGGGCTTTTGCTCTCATGTTTAAGAGCAGCCATCCACGCCGCTGAAATAAAGTTACGGGCATTAGGGAAGAATCAGTTTACTGTGATTCCCTAATCACAGTAGGCATATGGAAAGGCTCTCTCCCACATCAAATATAGAATCACAGAATCACAGAAGCGTAGAGTTGTCACTGTCAATCCGTAGCTTCATTGCTGAATCCAATAAACATGCTTAAAGTTGTCACCATAAAGCAGGAATGGGGAGCCATCATCCCGCACAGCCTGCAAATGTCCCAGAAAAAACAGGACATCCCGTTTTCTCACGCAAGAGCATGGCAACCATTTTGGGTGCTGTGACTCATACAGGAGCATGGGTGGGAAGACACACGTCTTGGGATTCCAAGATGTTGTTGTTGTTGTTTTGAATATTTTAGTAGTTGAATATAAGAACAATATATAATCAAATACAGTGGGATTCCAAGATGTTGATGGGTATGCACCCCTGGCTATTGGCTATTCTGGCAGGGGCTGATGGGAATTGAAGTCCAACAACCTTTGGAAAGCCACAGGTTCCGTGGCCCTGCCCCAGAGCAATATTTTAACAGAAATCGTAGACCAAGTAGATGGTGGTTAGATGCTGGCTTCAGAAGAACGTGGTCTCAGACACAGCTGAGTGATGGACTACAGCTGTAAGGGCTGCTGACCTGCCTCCTGCCATTTTATTTTTAAATGAATCAGTCCCTTTGTCTGCTTTATGTTCCAATAAAAACAATCTAAATTTAACCTAAATGTTATGCATTGTTCCTGTGGGAGGCTGGCTGGGTTCTCCCAAACAGCAAATGAGCCGAGTTTTGTTTGGAAGGTACCACCCCAAAATACGGTTGCCCTGCTTCGCCTCATTCCTCCTCTGTGTGTTTCTGCCCCAGCTTCTTCTAAGTGAGCTGCAGATCAACGACGACCTGAAGATCTCTGTCAAAGATGAGGAGCTGGCTTCGATGAGGAAGGCGACTGCATTTGACACTCTCTGCAATGACGTCATCCCTAAAAGCATCACGGACATTCGCCGACTGAATGCCAGGCTGCTGGGCCACCCTGGGGTGCTAAAGAAAGAAGATTTCGAGAGGACAGTGTTGACCATGGTCTACACAGCCTATAGGGCAGCTCAGTCCCAAGGTCACCAGAAAGACACGTGGGCGGAATCCTTTGTGGGTCTCTACAAGGCCCTGAAGCACGACTTGACATTCTCAACCAGCCAGACGTCCTCATCTCAACGGACTTTGTAGTCCAGAAATTTACTTTAATAGGAAGCACATCTGCCTCTTTGCCTTGTTTTTGTATATATAAAAAGTTTAGGACTGCAGGCATGGAAAGATTCTTTATTCTCTAGCTCCTCCTAGAGGGCACCTGTTGAAAAATCTTTTACGTGCTTCTGAAATTTCTCCTTGTCTGAATTTCTCCCTGGATTTTGGGAGTTACAAAGTGCCTGTGCCTGCTTCTGAAATGGAACCAATGAGTTAAGAATCCTCCTTTCTTATTCTTTTCTCCTTTAAATAATCTGAATTTTGTATGAAGCCCCGCGAATGCAGAGTTTTCCACAGTCTTTCATGGACATAAGTGATTTCCCCAAAGCTCTGCTCAGATTAGTTTGGAAATTAAACCATTTGAAAAATGGAGTTCTCCCAGAAGGAAAAATGAGACACCTTACTTCTTCTTCTTTTTTTGCAGAGCCAGTCTGAGGACTCAAAACACCATCTCAGTCCTGCCAGCCTGCTGACTCCCAAAACTCTCCTTGCAAGCTGACCTCAACCCCCAGACACACTTCATTTTCTTTGTCTGACAATCAGTGACCAAATGGGGAGGGAACAGGAGAGAAGGGAATCTTGCTCTGTTTCCTTGTTCCCTCCCCAACCTTATTCACATATTACTTCTCTGTAGAGTGCTAACATCCTGGAGTCCCATCCCAGGCTAGGCCTGCTTCAGTTTGTTTCTTATTTTAATGCAAGCCTACCTGGTTCACATTTTCTGAAACGATGCACCAAACTGCCCTTGCAATTGGGTAAGAAAGTGGGTGAAACCAAAATGGACAGATGCAATCCATCTGTCCATCCCAGCTGACATTAATTTATATAAAGAACCAAGGATATTTCTCTGGCAAGCAACATGCACCTTTGCTTTCAGATACTATGGTAGCCACAAAGCCCAAAACAGCAGGACACACATTTTCTCTCCTGCTCACTGGAACGTGGAATCAGTATAAACCATGCAAAATCTGTATAGGGAAAATTAATGTCCATAGACTTATACATCGAGTTCAGTTAATCTGATCCTAACTTTTAGGGTACCTTCATTTCACTCTAAGTGAATGAATCATTGGTTCTTTGATATTCCCTCTTGTTACTCCCTCTAGGTTTATGTGAATGTTCATACAAAGTGTGGCAGTTGCTTTGATACACATACATCCAGGGTCAAAAGGCCTCCGAGTTGTTTGTGCAAAAAGCATTGCAGGACATTTTTAAGCATGTCTATTCAGGATCACTTTTGGGGCATGGGGAAACCGAGGCAACAGAACTACTTCCCTGGGGATTCCCCAAATGCATCCATTCTTAAGGAAATTAGACCTGAGTGCTCACTGGAAGGACAGATCGTGAAGCTGAGGCTCCAGTACTTTGGCCACCTCATTGGAAGAGAAGACTCCCTGGAGAAGACCCTGATGCTGGGAAAGATTGGAGGGCACAAGGAGAAGGGGGCGACAGAGGACGAGATGGTTGGATAGTGTTTTCGAGGTTACCAGCATGAGTTTGACCAAACTGCGGGAGGTAGTGGAGGACAGAGGTGCCTGGCGTGCTCTGGTCCATGGGGTCACGAAGAGTCGGACACGACTAAACGACTAAACAACAACAACAACAACAATTCAGGATCATCCTGTTGTATTTTATGGGTATTTGCCCCTCCTAAGTGTGCATAGAATGGCAGCCTTATTTTTTTTTTCCCTGACTTGAAAACTGGTGAATGTTTGGGATCCATGGTGGAGAAAATACCCATTGAATAAAATTCTCATTGATGAATTCATTAGCTTTTCAGCAGGGAATAATAGGGTTATGCATTGGCTCTGTGTGCACTCAGGTAATGAGGCAAATTGGTTTGATTCAGGTCACAATATCATGCTCCTGAGTTAGATCAGGCTATTAACAGGTGAATTAGGGAATCCCCAGGGAAGTAGTTCTGTTGCCTCGGTTTCCCCATGCCCCAAAAGTTCTGTGCATGACCTTCCTTTCCTTTCCTGAAAAATGAAATCAAGTTGAATGGTAAAATGTCTAGCACTTGAGAGGAGAGGGAATATATAGGAGAGGGGAGATGGGGGATCTTTCATTTTGATGGACATTTTGATTATCTTTTAATCAGTGAATTATTTTCCCAGTGCACTTCACTGTCGGTGATTTGGAGGAGGAATGTTGAAGTAAACATGCGGTCTGCCTTTCTCCTCCATATTCTGGCTGCAAGAACAGGGCATAAGCAGTAGAGTTAGACTACTGGGGTGTAAGAAAATAATCCCTTTTCCTAACAAACCACCAGAAATCATAATGCCCTCTCTTTTTCTTCAAGGGGGATACTTCTAGGAAGTGGGGAGTGGGGAGGAAAAAAGGTGACTTTTCCATTTTGTTATAACAAGATAAAATCACCTAGTATGATAGCCCCTGGCCCTATCTGTCCGAACTTTGACAGGTTGCTTAACTGTCCTTGTATCCCCATTTCTCAAATGGATTGCTCCAATCAAATTTTTTGTTTTCCCACCTGAAAATGGAAGTCTGACCTTGTAGGAGAAGTGCTGTAGCTACCTGTCAGAAATTTGGCAGTATTTGTTCCTTCAGAAGTGGGAACTGTGCCTGCAATTTGCATCCAATTCTGGAATAAAATAAAACAGTTAAATACTTTATTTCTTTCAGACAACCAACAAACAACAAACCACCTTAAATGTTCCCTGCATGGAAACCCCTGGATGGATCTGTTTGAACTTTGGCAGACTTGATCCATTCTGCAAGGGCTATTTGGCCTACAAATTACATCCACTTGTGTGAAAAGAACTCATAGCCGCTTTTAGATTTCCCAGAGCTTCGGACTTAACAGGTCAGATTTGGACCCAAATATCAAACCGGAACAACACAGAGCAGATCTGAAACAGATCAGGCTCCTTCGCATTGCTAGATACAGATACAAAATGAATATTGTGGTTGCTTCACATGCCCAGAACATACTTTTGGTTTAGCTTGGTTAAGAGATGATGACACAATTATTTTTGCAGTTACCCACTGTAAGAGATGAAGACTGAGTTATGCAGATCTCACTTTCCTTAGAGATTGGAGATGATATTAAAGGAATGGGGAGATAATCCCACAATTTCTGCAAATTAAATGAGGAACCTTAGCAACAGTGGCTTTTGAAGCCCCTTTGCACAGAAATGGTGGAGAGTCAGCATTTATTTTCTAGGAACACTAATATTTATATATATCTCCAAAAACAGAGCACTCGCAGTCAGACTGAAAGGGCCCAAGCAGCGTCAACGTCCTGGTATGGCTCCAAGCCTAGAGCTGACTCTGTGTGGGCTCAGACATCTGTTCAGCAATGGCAGATCAAAGATTCTACTAGCTGTGTAATTACACCATTCCTGGCTGTTCCTGTCCTGTGATTGAGTAACTCTGTGGCGTGAGTCATAATTTTGCTGCATCCCCTGCAGAATGAATAGTTTAGTTTAGGTCGCATTTGGTCAGCCAGTCAGAGTACCAACAGCAGGCAGCTCATCTTGTTTGACATGCAGCGGGGAAAGGAATCCGACTACATGTGTGTAGCAGGACCACATCTGTGTCACGGGACTCCAGTGATGGGACAGCACACTCCGTTGGATCTCAGAGAGTAAAATACCAGTTTGGAGGAGCCAGGTAGAAACAGCTCTGCCCTCTCACTCCTTGTCACCACTCTGCCTGGCTTGTGTTCAACGTCCACTCAAACTAATGCAACAACATGCCATTGCCACCATGTGTCACACCGAGTAGACCAGCAATGTTGAACCAGTTGACTGTGGTTGCCAGGTAGATCGCCAGGGTTCTCCAGATCGATTGTGGGAGTGAAAAAAGAGATTGTCTGGTTGCTCCTGAGCGATCGTGATGTGCCCCGCCCCCAGCGCCATGTTGCATTGGCACCACTTGTATTCCCCTTGTCTGCGGTAGAGTGGGGGAAGGAGGGATGGTTGTGGACTGCTTGGTGAGTGATTTTATGCAACCCTTTCCTAAATAAAGCTCAGCAACTCTGAACAATGACAATGGGTAGATCACTGCCAGTTTTATTATACAGTCATACCTCTTGTTACGTCCACTTCATGTTACATTCTTTCAGGTTATGTCCCGCAGTGACCCGGAAGTATTGGAAAGGGTTACTTCCGGGTTTTGCCACTCGCGCATGCGCAGAGGTGCAAAATGATGTCAAGCACATGTGCAGAAGCGGCGAATCGCAACCTGCGCGTGCGCAGACGCACCGCTGAGGGTGGCATTCTTTTCATGTTGCGAAGAGGTCTCCGGAACGGATCCTGTTCGCAACCAGAGGTACCACTGTACTGGGAGTTGAATGTGCCTGGAGTAGACCAATGCAGCTGCTCACACATTGCCTGCTGGAATGTACAGCCTTCCAGGGATGATTGTCCCTCTGTCTGCCCACTTGGTTAGGGGGTCTTCCCTAAACCTATTTCAAAAAGTAAAAACCAGGAAACCACCCAAATTGTTGATCTTTTATTTACAAAAATGGCAAAAAAAACCCCAAACACCCCGATTTCTCAGTTTACTTCCCGAAGATCCAGGACAAACCACCGCCTTCTGGAAATTCTCACTGGATTACCAGAGAAGGATGGATAACAGAGATGATGGACTATGCCAAAATGGCGAAAATAACCAGGAAGATCAGAAACCAAGCAGATAATAAATTTTATAAAGAATGGGGGGGAATTATAAGTTACTTAAAAGAACACTGTAAGCAATGAAAAAAATTGGCAGGATTTTAAAAAAAACACTTGCAATGTAACAAGAACTATGGTATGAACTGAGTTTATATGATGCAGTTGGAAAGAATAACTATGGAACCCGTGGAGGGGAAATGGAGGGAAGACTAAGGATTCAGAGAATCCTATTTGTATATAATTATGATCTACATGTGAATGCAAATGTTAAATGTAAAACTGAATTAAATAATAATAATAATAATAATAATAATAATAATAATAATAATAATAATAGAGATTCCCCTTGGACGTCACTTCCGCCTTTGAAATCCTGGTAATATCTGGGAAATCCCAGATGTATGACAGCCCTACCTAAACATGCTGTCTGTGGTGCATTGGAAGAAGGCAGTTAGGAGAGATAGACAGCCCAGGTCAGCAGAATACAAGAATCGCCACCACTAGGGAGCTGACTCTGCTGAAACTGCTCCATAGACCTGGGATTAGCTGCCTAGATGCCAGATTGGTGTGCGCAGGAATTCAGAGGTGTCGAAGCGACTGCAAGTGTTCCCATTGACAATAAAGAGCTAACTCTCTGCCGTGTGTATTCCTTGGCTGCGAAGTGCCATTCATTTCTAGGCAATCTTACAGGGAGTCACATGCCAGTGCTGGGCAGGGCCAGAGCCAAAGGTAGACCGAGCAGCACATGTATATTTTAAACTCACACAACCCCTCTATTCCCCATCGAGGAAAGCAAGAGGCATTATCAAAGTTCCAGGACACATTCCAGCCGGGCATAAACACTTGGGGGGGACAAAGAAGGGGGAGAGTGCCAAGGTCCAGAGAGGGGGGGGCATTTGGCCTTCAGGCCTGTGCTTCATCACCCCTTCTTTATATAGAGAGCCATTGTTAAACTCTAAAGCACATTTCCCAGCACAGTGGGATTTCTCCCACAGTCAAAATGGAGTGTTGTTGATTTAAGAGCCGGCGTTGCTAGCTCTCTGAATAATACATATACAAACAAAGCATAAAACACCCTCGGGCTCCCAGTGGATCAATGAACCTTAGAAATAACTCTTACAGCCCTCTGCTTCTTGCTTGTAAAATAGAGCTTTGTTGGCTTCCACTCTCCTCTTTTACTGTGGGTAATGTCAGAAGCACAAAATATGGGAATGACATCCATAAAGGTCTATTTTATTTACGAAAGCATCTCTAACGAAGAAGTAAGACACCCGTGCTTTGAGGCATGCTTGGATTCAAGGTACATTTATCAGTGGAGATAAGCAACAAGGGCAGCAGAAAGGGCACACAAGGTATTTAAAAGCCCTCATCACACCATCTAATTTAGTTTTCTTTTTAAAAGTAAAGTCTTTCCAGGTGCTCAGAAAAGCTAGAGAGGCAACCAGGAGATAATGAGCTGGTCGCCAAGCATATCCTTAGAGCAGGAATGCAGGCATACCCTCCAACATTTCTCCAATTAAAATAGGGGCGTCCCATTCCATAATGATAATTTTACTATTTATACCCCACACAACTGATTGGGTT